ATAATACTAATGTACTAGGTATTTATTTTGTTGTTTTATTAAATTTACTACAGTAAATAAAATATTTTTCAATACCAATTGTTTTACTTAATGTTTTATATCTATTATAAATTCTTATTTTATAGTAAGCAGGGTGAACTTTGAGAGTTAATTTATTCTATAGTTTGTATAAAATATATATTGACAAGTGTTAAAAGGATTAGGTGAGTTAAGTATTTACAATTAGTGTAATCGCATTTAATTTGCTTGAAATAAAAATTATTTATGAATATATTTCATAGGGGAAGGTAGGGGGATCCTAACTGTATGTTCATTTTAAGTCACAAAGGAACATATTATATTAATAATATATAATTATATAATAATATATATAAGGAACTATTATTTGATAGTACCTAAAAACGTCCCAGGAATAGTTATTAGAAGAACATTTTTGGAGTGTTTCTAAAACACTATTTATGTCATAAATATCTGATAACAGTTAAATAATGTTTCACATCATGTTACAAAAAACATGGCATAAGGCGTTTCTATGCTGTTTTTGGAATTCTTATGTATGTTCCATAGGAACGTTTCAATGTTTTTTTGGAACGTAATTTTTATGTAACTGAAACATTATTTTGTACAGTGGGAGGCAAATGCATCATGAGTTGTGAATAATTGTTATTATATTGAATTATAAATTACCTTCATAATAATAACCGTTCAAACATATTTGGACACCGGTACGGATTAAGGTATAAAATTATGTTAAGTTTTATTTCGATAATTTGTTTTTGTTTTCTAAACTATTAATCAATCAATCTAGAGCATATAAGGGGAAGATGATTTAGTGAATTCTGAATAAAAATGTATAAACCTCCTAACTGTAAAAATAGAAGTAAGTATAGTTATAACATTATGAGATATATATTTAAACGTATCTTTTTAAATTAAACGGGATTAAACTTTGCTTATGTCATCAAAATTATTTTTAAAATAAAATAATATAGTTAAAATACAATTTGCTATCGGAAAAAAAATTTGTTTACAAACAACGATTCCTTTGGAAAGTAAGAAGGTTATCTTATAACTAAAGACAAATTAATGTAAGAATTTAATGACTTAGAAACAAACTAACGAAGTCCTAGACAAAAAACATATTTTCCTAATACAATTTATGATGTTATAAATATGTAATAGTCAGTCTGGTATTTATATAGGTACTTTATTATTATGCTCGTTTATTTCTCAGTCATATACTGCATTGTTTTTGATGTTTCTAGATTTGTTCATAAATACGTTATTTTCCTCTTGATCATAGTAATATTTGAATGCCCATCTAAAATTGAATACTGATAGTAATACTTTTCTAGATAATATTATTCTCCAGTTATAAACAAATTACTAATTTTAGTTACTTCGTCTTCATTTTAGGTATGGTTCGAAAAATTGATTGATAATTGATTTGAGACTATTTCAAACAAAAAAATTAAATTTATCGTCTTGTTATGAGTTAACGCGATTCAATATTAAATAATTCTGTAATAGTAAAAAAAAAAAAACAAATCGTAGTAATATTTCCATAATTTTGTAATCGAACAAATCAAAATTCGTTGAAATACATTGTATACTAGTATTATATTATATAAATTCCATACCTCAAATGTTTCGAATACATATACTTATTTACTTATTCATAGTCACATGAACAGATATACTCGTACAATACCTATGTCAGTATACTTAATAATGTCAAAGTTATAATTTTTAAGATCAAAAAAAAAAAAAAAATATAACTAGAACTATCACGAGATACTTGGCAGGTATGTAACATCGAAAGTATTTCGTATAAAAAATATGCATTAATACATTAAAGGAAACAAATATAGCATAAATAAAAATATAATATTTAGATTTGTTTTTGAAAAATTATTCTTTATTTGCAAGATATATACTAATCTAATACCAAAATTAAAAAATTAAAAATTACTCGTCAGAAACCTATCTGTTTGAATCTGCTATAATGCAGTCATTTTTATTTTATTAAATCCTGAACCTTACATATGCAAAAGACATTCAAATCTAAATTTAATTTAATTGTTGGTTTTAGTTTTTATGACACAAATATTTCAAAATGTACAAATTTAGAACTATTTATAACATATTGTGTACTCGTATATTCATGACGAAACCAGAATTATTGAATTGGAGGGGCTAAAAATGGTTTTGGCAGGGGCGTAGGATATTTCTGTTGGGTAGGCCCACTATAAAACTACTCACCAACGGAAATGGGAATTTTTCCGATTTTTTTATTAGCCTACCATAATTTCAAAGTTGTCAATGATTCTTATTTATCTGTCAATTCTTATAAATAATTGAATAATAAACAACTTGAAATAACAAATAACAATAAATAACAAATTGAACGAAAAAATAAATAGATAGTTTCAAAAGATGCAATTTTTATTTAAGTACCTAAATATGAGAGTTTTATGAAATACAATTATGAATATTGATTAATATACGCATTTTTAATTTATTCTTGAAGTAAAAATTCTAATCTTCTTGACAGCAAACTCGATAATAACAGCTGATGGGTTATCCATAAATTGTCACTTATTTTTCTTTCTAAATATTATTGGTTTTATTCTAGAAAAAATCTGGATAGGCTCGGGTCTACCATGCCTACCTACTGGTTACACCCCTTGGGTTTGGGCTGGTGAGATAAGAAAGGATCGGTTCATCCTTCGCCGTCCCCCTTAAGTTTATAAATGTATTTCCAGCCTTTTAAAATAGTGTTAATAATATTGATTAAAATAAAATTTATAAATTAACTGTGGTCATCGTGATGATATAACATGGTATAAAAAACTATAATGTTTATACAATTTTAGTGTTGGATAATAGTTACCACAACATGCATGATAACCGCCAAAAATATAGTATTAATCATTGTAGAAGTATTACGCTTATATACCATAGACAAGCACCCGTTATTCGTCAAAATTTAGCACTAAATTTCTAAAACACTTAAATACCAAATAGTAGTATAGTATGTTACCACACATCAACATGACTCATAAGGGAGGACTATAGTCCCATTAAACCCCCTCCCCTTAGCTATGACATTGTATATGCCAATTTTATTATTGGTTTTGACGATTTATTTCCTTAAATATATTTTGTGTTATGCACAAGAAGGACACTCTATTATTAAGGTAAGTGATTTGATTTCGGTTTAATTATTATTTATTACATATCTACCAATATCTAGTAATTAGTATTAATACAAGTATTCAATATACATAAAGCCTATCAAGGATCTAAAAATCTGTAAAAACTAATAACAATATTTAATACATTTTTTTAAATCAATTAAGTTGTACTTTTAATGCTATCGACACATAAAAGTTTCACGGAATTTTTGACACGACGTCACGGCATTATCTTCAAAAATTCGGTTGTTGTTGAAAGTGTTAAATAAAACAATGTAATAACTCTTTCCGGCATTATGGTTATTACTGTTAACCACATAATTTTTAGTTATAATGCATTTTCTAAAAATATATTGGTTGAATAGGTATTGCCCCAAGCATTTTAGGTACCATATTAATTAACCACCCTGCGCTAAAAACACAGCCTATAGCACTCAAATAGCCAACGTGATAAGGAAGAGGGGGATCGCCGTGCCAATTGTAGAGTGCGTTGCGAAGTGTCAGCACGTCAACAGTCAGTCAGTCTGACTCGCCATATTAGATGTTACACATCAAAATAAAAAATGTTAATTAAATATCGCTTGTAAAACTGCTGACACAAACTAATGTTTTCTTATTCGCAACTTGATTCTTAACGAACTGCTGTCGCACGTACACTTCTTGTTTTTAATAATAATTATTCATTGAAATTTGTTCAACCCACGGTAAGAAGCGTCATAATTTCAGTGGGTCAAATATAATTAGTATCGTCTTGATTAAAAACTTTTAATATCTTAGAAAAAAATCTAAAGATATAATTAGTATTCTTAATGAAAACGAGCAATTGCATTATATTTAATTTCACTGTAAGCGCGAAAAATATAACGAATGTGATGCCAGTCAGGTTCGTAAAAACCATGACCTAGTGTACACGTGCAACGAAGTGAAAAGTCGAACTAGGAAAATGAAACTACTGCCGAATAACACTATAAAAGATAATAAAACACCAGTAAATTTCGATATTTTCTGAACATGTTCCACGTTTGGAATGCAGTACCTCTTTATCATGTTCCAAAATGCAAAATGTAAAATTAAAAAAAAAAACCAAGATGAGATTAAAAAAACTTATATAAATGACATAATAACGGTGTACTCCTGTAATATACACATTGCGTTATTTTAGTTTTCGAATTTAGAATTTTAATATAATTGCTTTTAAAAGGGTATTAAGATTACGTACGAACAATATTCTACATAATTATTGAACAAATTTTTAAAATTTTCGTTGGATAATACACACGAATAAAATCCTTAAGCAATATAGTTCGTAATATACAATATGTACTGCTTATGGTATTTATGAGAGGAATTGTCCAATGATGTACAAAGTTGCTCTTAGTATCTAAAAGACAGGTACGATGCCGAAAAAGAGCTGTTCCTTCCTACGACGACCTTTAAAAGTAGATGGCAGCCTTGTACAGCGCCGATAATTACAATTATTTTTGTAATATACAAAACGTATTTTTAATAAATGCTCTTAGGCCTGTGACGTGAACTGCAGTTAAATATGAACCTATCACTTAGTACCATTTAAAAATTACTTTAATATCTTTGTACTTAAAGTAATCGCATAAATCAATAACACGATATTTGTGTTAACATCATTAACCGTTTTTGTGAGTCCAATTAATACAATTTCGTATTATGTACTTTCAAATATTTCGCGTACACGCACCTTTACTCTTTATAAAATGTAAAGTGCACGTTGCAGTACATATATAATTTTAGCTCATATATATATTTATGTATTATGATTATACTCACTGGACTCGATTCTCAGTCATTCGGCAAGTTATGATTAATGAAGAAGGCGACAATTAATACCCGTGAGCAGATTATGTTTTCCGCGGCACAACAAAATCGAACGGTACACCACGAGGAGAAAATCGACCGACTGGCTGAGGGATCTCGCTGGTATTCGCTGTTTACCCGATGTCCGCCAATGTTCTCTGATCTAATAACCCGTGTTCGTGCCCACGGCCGTATGTAGAAAAACACTCAACGAAAAACGTTGTCGGACGGATATCGCTGTATAATAAATTATACGTCGCTGAAACGTCCGCGATCGTCGTCGTTGTAAGACGCGCGCATGCAATAAGCACAACGACGTCCACCCAGGTCGGTGCGCGCCAGTCGAACAACACGCGACTTGTCGCCGTCGCGTTGCGGTTTCTACCACGCGCAGGGCAACGGCCGACGATGACGCGTGGCAAACGGCAAGCCGCGGTGTGATTTCTCGCCCGAAGCCGGTCACGGTCGACCGGAACGCTCCGAACGTCGTGGCCGCGCGGTCAATCGAGACACCGCGGTGTCACCGGCGGCGTGCTCATAAGCGGACCTTCGGCCCAAAACTTGGCAATGCTAATATTGTTTGTCTCGAGGTAACCCCTAGGTAGGGGGGGTGTGGTGGTGGGGAGGGGTAAACACACCTGCCCTGATGTAAAAAGTTTTAATTCAGAAATAAAATGTATCGATTACAATGCATTGGAGAAAATTCGATCATAGTTTGAATTGGTATATGTTAATATACAACGAATTGTAGGTTACCCATGTACAGTTAACGAATAATAATACTATTTTTTTTTTATCGTATTAACATAATAACAATTCACTATAATTTATAAATAATTATAATGTTTTTCATATAATTTAACTAAAATTATAGACTATTTTGACTAACTTGACTCTGGCAAAAATTAATTTTCAAAATATTATTACTTTCTGTAATAAAATAAAGAATTTTTCAATCAAGATTATTTATTTGAGCTATTTATAAAACAAATGTATTCAAATTTAAATACTACAATATATACTGATAAATAATAAAAATCATATTAATGTAAATAATTCAAGGAAGTATAGAATTCTTAAAATATTACCTTGAAGGTTTGGTATATTATATAAAATTATATGTACCAATTACATTCAATCCAAAAATATATACTTCAGATTTAATGAAATCCAAATATTATTATTTTACGATCATATTTTGTTCGTAAAAAAAAAATATTTATATTTTCTTTATTTATAATGGAAGATTTTAAGACAAATCCGATTTTTTTTTTTATATATAAGAAATAATACCGCTGATTAAATATTTGGGATTTCTCAAAAGCTTATTATTTTATTTATAATAAACTAGATGTGCATACATTGGCTGTACTTTTATACAAGTGTTTACAAAAACAAATTATACTTATTATAAGTTCTTTCTTTAACTCATTGAGTATAATTAATTTGTATATTTATAAAACACAATAGAAAAGCATTCAAATCGATTTTCATGTAAACATAATTTAAGACTGTTTTCTTATTTATACAATTCAGGTTCTGCATTTTTTAGCCTTATATTTATTATAGCTGAAAGAAACGTTTCCTACTTCATTCAAATGCACATTATATTTTAAATTAAACTGATTTTAACAAAAATATTTAAAAAAAAATTATTATAATCATAAACCTAATTTTAAATCTAAATCCAATGTCAATATTATGAGTATAATATTTTTATTTTTTTTTTTATTTAAAATAAAGTCTTCAACATCTTATGGTTATTAACCTACAATGTGACTATGTAACAATGAGAACAGAATATACATTAACAGATATTTATAATTTACAATTTATGGTAAAGATAAGTGTATTGGAAAAATTTGCAGATTGCATCTGTGTTTTCTTCATTGAGGGCAAGTCGGAGGCATGTTGAGATTTTGAAAATTTTTCGTGCATCGGCGTATTTTGGGCATCTGGTGATAATATGGTCGATCGAAAAGTTCTCGTCGCATGTATTGCATAGTGAAGCAGGTTCCTTAGTTATGAGAAAGGAATGGGTGAGGTGAGTGTGGCCTATTCTGACTCTAGTTATAATGACATTGTCCCTTATTTTTAGGTTACAGAGAGAATTCCATTTTTGGATGGAAGGTTTGATGTTTCTTAGTTTATTCGAGAGAACACTTTGTTGGAATTTCTGTATGTAATGAAGTCAAGGTAGTAATTTTCGTCGCTGTTGTTCTTTTGAAAAAAATGAGCGAAAGATTCAGTGGCATTTGAAGTGGAAACTATTTTATTCTGGTTGTAATGTAATATATCAGGAATTGTTTTGAGATTGTTTCCTTTAATGGAATTTATTTTGTTCCCTATTATTTTTGGAGATGTTTTTGTGTTTATTGAGGGCGTGAATTTTTGCCAAGAGAGGGTTTTGCTATTCTTAGTAATGAAACGAGCGCTGGCCCTTGCACTTTTTAAAAGTATGTGGTCTTGGCATGATATAGTTTTTTTAAAGTGATTAAGTTTCTTTTTGTAGTTTTGTATGGCCTCGTGACAATTTTTATTTCACCAAGGGACATTTTTTTTTCCTGGAGGATAGGTTGGTCTTTAATTCGATTGATTTTTTGACCGCTTCTAGAATGTTGTCTGTGAAATGTTCTACTATTAAGTCAATTTTGTACTGGTTATCACACTGGTTGAAGTCTATTGGATTATTGCTAAGGTCTTGCTCGATTAATTCGGAGAATAGTTCCCAGTTGGGGTTCAGAAGGTTCCAATAAGTTCTTGATTGGGTGGGGGGAGAATGGTTGGAGTATTGGATTGATATTGGCCAGTGATCGCTGTTGTTATATGATGGTAGTACTTGCCACTCGAAAAGGGGTGCAATGTTAGAATTTGTGATGGAGAGATCGATCGCAGAGAAGATACCGTTGGCTGTGTTATACCTTGTAGGATCATTATTGTTAAGGAGGAAGAGGTTCTCATTGTCGAGAAATTCTTCAACCATTTTACCACGGACGTCGGTGTGGGATATATTGCGGCTATTAAAATCGCCTAAAAATATGAAGGGTTTGGGGAGTTGCCGTATAATATCTATGAGGTTTTGTTTTGTAAAAGATTTACTGTTCAGAATATAAATATTGCATACACATAAGTGTTTTTGAAATTTAACAAGCGTAGCTACTACCTCAAGATTAGAGAGAATAGGGATATTTTCGCTTTCAAGAGAATTGTTAACGAAAGTAGCTACACCTTCGCTTGCCCTGTTGGCGACAGATCTGTTTTTAAAATAACCAGAGTAATTTTTTGAGCTGTATGGATGTCCTTAAGGTTAGTTTCTTGTAAGCAGACAATTTGGGGTTGAAAATTATAGATAATACGGTTAATATCAACTGAACGTCTGTAGAAACCATTGATGTTCCATTGGATAAATGTGATCATGTTTAAATAATGGAGTTAGATTTTGGGTAATGTTTTATTGGTTGGTTTGGTTTATGTTTGAAGTCTGAAGAGTTGGTTCTTCAGAGTGGGGTATTGATTGAAATAGGAGTTTAGTTAATCTGTTTATTTTGGATTTAGTTTTTTTATCCATCATTAATGGTATTACTTTTTTGGCCATATCGAGGACTGCAGTAGCTTTGGATCCAATATTATTGCATAGATCGTGTATGTTTAAGTTTTTGTTCGAGAAGTTTTCAAGAATATATTTGAACGAGATTAGGTCAATGGAAGAGTCATTGTTTTGAAATATAGCCATGGCTGGTTCAAGAGGGTCATCTAACTCTTTAGTGGTCCTGATTGAGGAGTTTTATCTCGATCTGAATTTAATTTTTTTTGTGGTTTGGTTTTTTGAATTTGTGTTTTTAACAGCAAGTACATCCTTACCTAACTCAAAAATATGAGGGGTCGACGTGGGGGAGGATGGCGCTGACGGGATTCGGGAGCTAGCCTTTTGAAAATAGTTTGGTGTGTCTGTGGGCTTATTATATCTGTGAAATTTTAATCTTGAATGATTTGTTCATTATTATTATTAGATATCTCGCTAGTATTTGGAGTTTTTTCGACTTTTAGGCGCGTTGTATTTACTAAAAGAAGGTGAGGAATCGTGTTTGAATTATTAGTTTTTTCAGTGATATGCTGGGAGGAGATATTGGTGGTTGTTCATTAGAGGTGACCATATTTTCTGTCACAGGTGGGGTAGTATATATCGTCTTACAAGAAGATGATACGTGGCCAGTTTTTTTGCATAAAAAGCAAGTTACAGTGTCGTCCGTAATAAATATACTATATGAGGTATTGTCTAAAGCAATAGCAATTGATCCTGGAAGTTTAGTGAAATCGTCGGGATTTATATAAAGTTGCCTGCGAAAGCTAGTGATGTGCGCAAATTGGTCGAGTGGGAGGCCAGCTTTAAGCGCCGTGATTGGAGATGTTGTTTTACACCAAGTGTCATAAGCGCTTCGATAATGGAGTTGTTTGGTATAACAGGATATACATTTAATAATATAATACGTTTGGCCGGGTTGATTAGTTTGCGTATCGGTACCTCGATGTTATCGATAAATATAGCAGAGTGCTTATCAATTATGTCATTAGTTATCTGTTGGTTTTTGAGAAAAACGCAAAACCTATTATTAGATATGCGTGACGCGGAGATAATGTTGATTGCGTCAGTAATTTTACTGAGGCGCAATTGAATCGCTTATTACAGAAACCCCATAAGAGACAAAAATTTCGAAACATATTATTTTCCACTTGTTTGTATTTTTTGTATTACATGACATTACTTAGGGGTTTCTGCTCCAAACAAAAATTTCAAAGACGCGAATTGGCCACGTAAATAAGATGGGGCTTCTGCAAAAATCGATGTGTCTACTAAAAAGATATAAGCAAGTGGAATATAATATGTTTCGAAATTTTTGTCTCTTACGGGGTTTCTGTAATAAGCGATTCAATTATATACTGGATTTGTTTAATTCCGTCTAGTGAGTTTATTACGATAGCTTCATTTTTGGTGTGAGAGAGTTAGATGTTGTTTTAGCGAAGATTTTTACTTGCGTGTTGTTTGTTGAATGAATTGAAATTGATTGAGTTTTGTTGATATTATTGGTTGGGTGATTGACATGGATTGAGGGGGTTTTAGAGGAATGGATTTGAGTTGAATGGTTAGCTGCTAATAATTTTTCTTTAAGAGACAGTTTATTTGAGTTTAAACTGCCCAATGTTTTGGGCATATTGGTGTTCATTGCGAATGAACCTGGTTGTATAACAATATGTTTCTAATTATGTAAATTAGATTATGTATATTTTTCGTAGAGCAGTATAAGAACACTAATATTGGTAGATGTAAATACGGTTGTGATAAGGCTATCACACGTGATGCTCGGTCGGAAGTCAAACACGAACTGGAGTATAATATTATAAAGAGAAAATCCACTGTTATTTTTATTTGTTGTGCATCTAAGAATAATTT